CCCCTGCTTGTGTTCCTCTCTCACTGTCTCTCTCTCTGTCAAATAAATAAATAAAATCTTAAAAAAAAAACAGATAACAAGGGATTGGCTGGTAAGATGTAAAGAGAACTCTAAAAAATACAGAAATAATAGATAGAAGGAGCAGTCACCATCTCTAGGGCTCAGATAGTGTCCAAAGGAAGAGCACCCCCCAGCCAGATCCCGATCTTGGTGGTGAGGCCTCAGCCGCAGGATGGCAGAGAAGTGTGCCACTGCACCTGCAGAAGCTGCTGGAAACCCACCCCTGGGATACTGGGCAAAGCTCTTCACTGGTAGGCGTCTCACTGGGAGCAACATGCTTAGTAACTGCTGTGGGAGGCCGGGAGAGCTGTTGGCCCCTGGGCGCTTCTGGCCACCATGCACAGCAGGAGGGGCAAATGCTGCAGGAGCCGGAGGCACTCTCTACAAGACCAACCAAGGGGGCGCTGGGGGAAGCTGCTGGCCTCATGTACCACTTTCCATTCCCTACCAAGATAAATTGAGAGAGCCTTGGAGGGAAAAAAAAGTCTCAATTAAACTTGGTCTTGCAGCAAGGATCAAATCAAGGTTATGGCGGACACACACATCCTAAAAACCTCTCAACAGTTGAAAGTCTCTTCGAGAAAATACCCAATTAATGTCCTTATGCTCACAAATATCTTCAATGAGCAAAATAGGTGGAGCTAGGGAGACTAAAGATGTGCTTCTCTCCTTGAAGCCTTACAGGCTCAGAGGACTTGAATTGAGACGGGGTAGGAGTGCTGGGGCTGAGAAAGAAGATACACGTAGTAAATATAAGTATGTCTGGAAAAGAACTGGGGGTGTGGCCATCGCCACGTGAGGCTGACTGGAATCACACAGGTCAGAAGGCTTTGAGACCATTGTACTACCTGAGCTATAAGAGACGGCAACTACTCAAGATTTAAAATAGGAAGCCCCGGCTGTGCACAGACAGCAAGCGGTAAGAAAGCTGCACAGGAAGGGCATACTCCCCAAAGCCCTTTTTAGATGGGGGCGAGGATAATAGAAAAGGAAGAACTTCCCAGAGAGGGAGCCAAGGTCTATGGAGAATAATGGACAATAACAAAGAACAACAATAATGAACAAAAGCTACTTCCAGGAAGGAGAACCAAGACCTACAGAAGGATCATTTCTCACCCTAAAGGGAGTGTTGTCTTCAGAATGAAAATGACAAAAGACTTGTCATCTTTCACAATGGGAGTGTATATGCTCATCAGTCTCTGTTCTACCCTCTGCCAAATCAAGTTGTGTGATGTACAGAAAACTTGTCCATTTGGGTCACAGATATCAGATCAAGCGGCCACATCTGGACTTCATAAAAAGACTACCACTCATCACCTCTTATTTATACACTATTGTGCACTACCCAGAAATCCTGAGCTTAGGAGTTTAATATTTGACAGGATGGGACTTTTTGGTTTTCTCCATTGGGAAGAAGATGACTGTATTTTGCCTTCAGAGGGGAGCATGAGTTGAATATTTGGTGACCAGTGGTTGTTAATACATTCACCAAAGATTTCTAACTCTCGTAGGCACTGAGTAGGATTGAATTTCCATTTTTTAAAAAAGATTTTATTTATTTATTTGACAGAGAGAGACACAGAGAGAGAGGGAACACAAGCAGGGGGAGTGGGAGAGGGAGAAGCAGGCTTCCCGCGGAGCAGGGAGCCCGATGTGGGGCTTGATCCCAGGACCCTGG